CCACAATAATATCCCCCAGCATTGGTGTCAGTGGATGTAGTAAATAACCTCCAGCTATGGTGCAGGTTGATGCAATAATAACCCCCCCAGGTGGTGGGTGACAGTGTTTTTTAACCTACCGTAATCCATTGGTTGTTAGTGCAGTGGCAGTAAAATTTACTCCTAACACCCCCTCCCATATTAGTGGTCAGGGCAGTGGCAGTGAAATTTAACCAGCCATTACCTGATTATATACTGGCGCTGTCGGATGGAGATCAACGGAAGAACTGCTGGGTGCCTAAATGATGAGAGTGTTCAGCCCTGGCTCCCCATTACTGCTCTGCAAAATGCACAGACATCCAACAGGTGGCGGATCCGTCCCAAGACATGGCGGACTGCGTCTTGGGTACCAGGGGGATAGAACCTCCATCCCAGTTTTACTGCAGCCGTGTTCTTGGTACCGCTTTAAACAGCAGTTGATTGCTGTTTCTGTACAAACGATCCGGCGTCTGTACAGGCACCAGATTGCTTGTACGGTGCGGCGCTGTGTGTCCCCTCCCTCTACCGCCGCCGGCTTCCCGGTTTCCGATGTCCCCCGTGCGGGCATGTGACCGGCATGGCGGGTCTCCCCTGATGGATCGGAAGGAGATCAGCGGCTTCTAGCCACTGATCTCTCCTCCGATCACTGGACCCGGAAGTGATGTGTATTACATCACTTCCGGTGTCACTGTGCACATTCTCTGGCTCCTATCCAGGAGAAGAAGCTGGCACAGCAGATCTCTGCTTTATCAGCTTCTTTGGGGTCCCTAGGTGACATTAGGGATCTGAAAGACCTCTGATGTCTCAATCAAGAGGACCTGTCACATAATTTTTGTTATTATATAGGGCACTTCTTAGTCCCCTATGTGATAGCAATAAGGTTCGGTGTAAAAAAAAAATTGTAAAAATGAAAGTAACATATTAACAAAAAAAAAGAATGCAAAAAAGTTTTTTAAAGCCCCCCATGTGCATGCACATAGAACGCAAACAAGCGTTGGATGCGCCTACGTGCAAAAAACAAAATTGCGCCACACATCTTACAGATTGTCGCGAACGTCGGAATGAGAGCAATCATTCTAGGGCCATCAATCACTGTTAACACTAAACTGATGAGTAAAAGCGTTTAAAGCGTCACCTATGAGAAATATTGCATATTGTAGAGTTTTGCGGGTTCACGGACGCACGCAATTTTAAGGCTTGACATGTTTGGAATCTATTTACTCAACGTGACCCCGTCTTTTATATTTTACCCAGAAAATTGGGTAGTCTTTTGTTTCTGTGCAATTCATTTAATTTTAGTGTATTTTATCCTAAAAATAAGTTTTTTGCGCAAATACCATGTGACATAAAAAAATGCAACTAGCATCTTTTTATTCTACAGGGCCTCTGCTTTCAGAAAATATATCAGTGTTTGGAGGTTTGAAGCTGTTTTCTAGCCACAAATTCAGATTTTATCATTTGTGTGCGCAAATAGTAAGAAATGGCTCAGCAAGTGGTTAAGATGTGGTGTGCCCTCTATTAAATGGAAAATGTGGGCAGACATTATTCGTATTTATTTGTACTATGTATCTCACTTTTATCCTTATTTTTACTGAATGAATAGGAATTGCAGCGAGAGAAACGATGTGTTTACTTCTTTCATTCTTGTTTGCTGCCATGGAAAAGCCGAGACCAACAGAGCTACAGAGCGGGGGCGTTGATTGGAGGAAGCCGGGTCATGTGACCGGCAGCACCAGAACACGGAAGTGTGGAGACAGTGAGTACTGAGGAGGAGATCTGCTGGTACAGTGGAGTGATAAGGACCGGTACAAAGAAGGTGCTGCACTCCGAGGAGGGGGGACTGTGCTGTGTTATAGTACGAGGTGGCTCTGAAAACGAATGTCATTAATAGAGGAAAGGGTATGGGGTTCACTGCTCACCTTTTATATACCGGTCATGGTTTACTAAAGTAGAAGAGGCTGCTTAGTTTGCAAATGTTAGTAAATGCGGTAAATCGCTGTTGACTTTGAATACATTAATGTGTGTGTATAGTGAAAACTATTTTTTACTTCATGTTGTATGCAAAACCGTTTGTCAGTTTATTTTTATTTGTCTCAGGGACATGAAGTGAAATTTCCCTTCACTTCCTGTCCCAGAGGCACAACAGGATGTTAGAAGCAAACTACCCAAAGTGAGAGAAATCCCTTTCTTAAGGGGTGGATCTCCTGAAAGGAGACGCAGGCAGCAATAAAAACGTGACAGAGGATCTAACATTTCTCAACTCCATCCAAATCTAAAAGGTTTTGCCTGGAGATGCACTTTAAACACCTTCCCGACCAGCTCACACATGCATATATGCACCACTACAGAGGTTGGCTTTAAAAGAGAACTATGAGTAACCTTTTTATTCCATAGTTCTCTTTAGGGTCACGGGAGGACATATACTAACCTCCTCCAGTGACCCACAGCTCAGTATATCGCCGGCTATAGCCTGCTACATACTGAGAGCGCCGCAGCTTGGACGGATCCTGACAATACTGTCAGATCCACCCAGCTGGCTGATTGCAGGAGAGTCTGACTATCTAGAGGCAGTGCCTGCCACCTCCCCTGTCCATTCCTTCAGTCAACACTGGAGGGGGAATCCCTGCGTGGAGCGGTGACTGACATTCACTGATCCTTACAGGGACATGATGGAGAAATGAGCGAGTGACGGTATGTGTTTGCTCACTTTCCTATCAATAGAGCCGATGTGTGACAGTTTCATTGTCACAGGTCGGCTCTAACTATGAGGATGAGTGTAAATCACTCACCTCCATAGTTCTCCTTTAAAGCCTCATAATCTGAGCCGACCTGTGACAATGAAACTGTCACAGGTCGGCTCAGTAGATCGGGAAGTGAGCGAACACATACCGGCGCTCGCTCACCTCTCGATTCTGTGCCGGCAGAGAGCCGTGACAGGGGAGGGACTCGATTCCCCCCTCCCCGCTCCGATCCTTCATCGCTGACTGGCGGAACGGACGTGGGAGGGGGCGGGTACAGCTGGCTCTGCCTCTAGATAGGCAGAGCCAGCTATCACTCACACAGCTGGGTGGATCCAGAGATAATTGTCAGGATCCGCTTCAGCTGCAGCGTCTCAGTATACTAAGCTTAGGGTGATGGGAGGACGCTAGTTTGTGTCCTCCCGTTACCCTTAGGAGAACTATGGGGAAAAGGCCTGACCTCATAGTTCTCCTTTAACACCTGGCCATTGCATATGTGCCTCTCATCATGCTCACAGCTAGGGTTGCCACGTGTCCCATATTCACCTGGACAGTCTGAGTTTTGAGTCCTGTATGTGCTGTTTATGGTCTTCAGGCCAGCTGAATCCCAGACACAGCACATACGGGATTCAAAACCCAGACTGTCCATGTGAATTCGGGACAGGTGGCAACCCTTCTCCCAGCACAGTAACCAAGCTGCCTCCAAATTCTCCTGGTCACTGCTTACAATCGGAAACCAGGGACTATCTTGCGATCACATGATGGGAAAGCTCATCCCAGGGTCCCTTCGTTGAATAACTTTTAATGAGCCAGCGCAAGGGGTTAAGGAAATGAAGGGCCCATTCCCACTACTATGTTATGGTAACATGTTTTACCATGCGCCACTTTAACTCACAAAGCTAAACAAATGGCACCCAGGCAGCACAGCGCAATACACAGATCTGAACTGTCTATCCATCGGGGCTTGTTGCATGGACAATGAAACGGTTCATAGTTGTTGAAATATGTATTATAATGGAATAGCAGCCAATTCAAAATGAATGGGCTGCCCCAATCCAATGTATGTTAATGTGCATAAAGTACAATACAAGCATACAATCCAGCACACACATGCAGTAATGCACTGCAACACATCAAACAAGTGTACATAGAAGAGAAATTGTGCTAGCACATGATTGGGTATTTGAAGTATACAAAGATTCAATAATATTCACTTTGCTAAAAAAAAGCCTTTACTCCTTTACTAAATGAATCCCTTGGTCTGTAACAGGAATGTAACATCCATACATAGTTACATAGTGTGTGTTTGGCAGTGCACTTTGGCATGCCATTCAAATGAATGGTGCTGCATTGTACCAATGCATGTGATTGTACGTTGCAGTAACGCATGCCATAGTGTGAATGGGCCCTAAGCGTAGTGTATTCTGTATTTGTGGAAATAACTAAATTGTATTAGCCAGTCAGGTGGCCACTGAGAGTTTTGCGTGGTCTCAGGTGAACTCGTTTTGCAGCAAGCCCCTAGTGCTCAGGTATTGCTGTACTTTGGGTTGATTTTCACAGTTTGTGTGCTGGAATTTGTAGACGCACGCTTTCTAGAAGTGGCATTCTTCTGCAGGAGTTTTGGAACTGCAGGTGTCATCAGAGTATACCGCTCTCTGCCTATGGATGTGCTGAGACTTGTAGTGGCACAAGAGCATGAGGGCGCAAGCTAAGGATGACACCTAGGGCTTACCATGCTGAGACTTGTAGTATCACATCAGGGGTTAGCCTTAAGGCCCAGCTACATGGACATTAGAAACCACACAAATGCAGAATGTTTTCGGGTGCTTCTACTTGATTTTAATTTGCTCTTCATGTTACTCAATGCGTTTCTTTGAGCTGCTTCCCAGTTATATTGGGCTGCTTTTGCACTTACTTGGCTTGTATGGGGAAGTAATGCAACTCAATGAAATGAAATGCCTGCGTACATCAGCTTATAAATTTAGTCGGTAATAATACGCACATAGAGTCAGCTGTCTGATATATTATATCTGATCATGCTATTGGTATGGCTTCCATTCACCTCCCATCACTCTGCTTCTGGGTTTTAATAAATATTTGACCTCTTGATAGAATGAAGTGTTTGGGCTAGAGTGTCCTGCTAGGTTTCTAACCCATCCAAAAATGGGGAAAAAAGATTTGGCTTGTGTTAGCTAGGAGAGTTATTTATATTCTGTTTGCTTCTTATCTTTTATTTCTAGCAAGAAAGCTGAGATTCACGCAGCAATGGATGTACCTTCAACAGACTCCTTGAGTCTTAGCAGTCCCCAAATGTATCTTGGCTCCCCAGATCCTCAAAACAATATATCCGCTAAACAAGTAAGTAGCTCTTACATTTTTGGGGAAATGACTCACTTGCTGTGAATGAGTACATTCTGAAAGTGTACCTTTATACATTGGTAGTAGGCACTGTCTGGTAGGTGTGAGTCTACAGAAATAGAGCTACACAAGTCCCTCACATACAGAATTCAAGAAGATTTCAGGCTGCACAAATGTGTAATTAATGACACTTCCATTAGAGGGGGCAGGGCTAATAGTGGCACACAAAACTGCATTTATTGGGTTGAAAGACACTGGCATTTGTATTGGTCAGTACTGGAGTGCAGCAGTATTCCCTCTTTAGTGTGTGTGACCTGTGCCGTTTTCACGCACTCTTCAATGTGTGCGTCTACTCCTCTTCCTCCCCTGCGCCCTAACTCATTCATAAGTTGGTGTCTCCTCCTATTCTTTTCGATTCCATCCTTCTTTACTCCACCCTCATCTTCTACATCTGCCACCCTGCGATGCATTGTCATCGGTTTCTAGAGTGTATATGGTTGAGCTATACAGTGTCATTGGTTGCTAGAATGCAGGCAACTGGTTTGCACAGCATGGTTTTGACCAACCACCAGCACCATACTAACCAATGACGCCATATGGCAAGGCTACCTGCACCATGAAAACAAATGACCCTGCATGGCCAGGCTGCCTAGCCTACTATTATTCCTGAATTAATGTCTTATGTGCCCCAGGTTTGGAACCACTGCACTAGAGGGATCTTTTTATCTCTGGAGTTTTGGAGGGATGAGACATTAGAACATCTGTCAGGTTTTTATTGTTGTATGTGTCCTTGTTAGATGGATTCACTTTCACCAAAATAAAATTAGAGAGGAATTCTTGTAGTAGAGAAACCTGTTCTGGTGACAACTATCTAACAGAAGATTCCTCTCGCTTTGGAGAGATTTCCTCTCATTTGTTGTGCCTACAAGACAGGAAGTGAGAGAGAATTCCCCCAATCGGACTTAGATGTAGGGCTGCAACCAACTAATCAAAAAAGCGATGATGAGAATAGTTGTCAACTATTCTAATTTTTTGATTAGTTGGTTGAATCCCCTATCTCTCTCCTCCACGCTCGGAGGAGGGCACAGGCACCTGCTATTGCACCAGCCCACTACCTACTGTATTTGCAGCCAGCTGCTGTCTGCAGAATCTTGCCACTGGCAGCTGTCATTCCCTGGCTGAAGATATGCCAGTGCCATGTGCTTACAATACAGTTACCGTAATAAAAACTAATTATAAAAGGTAGGATAAAAGTAATTTTCGGTTTCGGCCTGACAAATTTTGCTACGGGAGGTGCTTTGCAGTGCCATTCATTTCAATGGCACCCCAATCGCGCCTCCCATCCACAGTGTGATCGCCCGCACTGAAACGCATCGTACCGCAATGCCCTGCATTCCAGTGCAGTGCGACTGCAAAAAATTGTGCATGCAGTTTTATTCTGATGTAAACTTTGTTTGTAACACGGCATTTGTGTATTTTATTTTCAATTTAAGGATGATATTTATTTCATTTTCTTTTATACGATTAATCGAAAAAATAATCGGCCAACTAATCTATTATGAAAATAATCATTAGTTGCTGCTCTACTTAGATGGTAACAAAAACCTGACACTTCCCTACCCTAAAATGAAAGAAAAAAAAAGTTTTGGCTTTGGATATAATATAACTCACCGTGCCCGGGAAAGACATTTTATGGGACATCAGATTGTCTGGGGAGCTGCTTGCAAAAGACAGAGAATATGAACATTAGCAGATTTCATTCACTGATGATAGATATTAGGGAACTTAAATGTATGTTGTGTAGAATCATAACACACCACACGCTATATAGTAGATGTTCAATTCACCTGGAATAGTATTGTTCACATTTTTTCTTTCTAGCTCATAAATCATTAGTAGACTATATGATCTTGAGAGTGCTCCGGGGTAGGAGAGGGGGCAGAAATCGTTGCCCCTTATTATTTGATAAACTACCCTGACTAAATACAGAAGTATCTGTGTAACTTGTGTACATCTATATACATGTCTTATTTCATGATCCTGAGAATTTCTTAAATGAGTCATTCAACTTCTGCATTTCACATACTGAAACAATCATCTTGTTTTCTGGGGCCCTAGGTAATGATTTGACAAGACCTCTAGGCAGACTTCAGTTTTCAAATGACTGACTAACAAATACACTATGTTAGAAATCCTCCAAAGTATAAAACTTTGTAACTGTTAAAGGGTCACATCATAAATTACAAGCTGTCGCTAAACACATGGTGAAGATTAACAATGTGACTGTTAGAGCTCTCATGTTAGAACTGGATTTAAGATGTTCAATGTTATGTTAAAGGGGATTTCCACTTTTTCTAAAAACTGGAAGACACCTTTAGTGGGGACCTTGTGAGGGCTGTAGTGGCGTGTCACCTCTTTCCCCCACTGAATGATTGAAGCCCAGTATGATGAGCCCAGAACAATGAGAAGAAGCTGGTATCACTAGGGTGCCCATATGTATCTACAATGTCTGAATATTGTGTGCAGTGAGACACTTGTAGGCCTGCAATAATGAATGGATTAAATCGATAATCGATTATGAGAATAGTTGGCAACTATTCTCATTATTGGTTAGTGGGGGGGGGAGGGGGGTAGATTTTTTTTAAAGAAGCCAATCGATTAGTTGAAAAGATAATCATGCAACTAATCGATTATGAAAATAATCGTTAGCTGTAGTCCTAGACACTTGCCCCCCACGTGAGGCAAAATCACTCGTGTTATTTAACTCTTAAGCACTCCGGGCAAAACTTTTATTAACCCTTGCTGTGGGTCTGCCCCTACACTGCAAGGGTTAACTGCTCATTTTTGTCTAAGTGCTAAAACATAATGATTTATGGGATGTTAAACCACTGCAGAGGAGGGGGAAGGACCAGTCTAAGAACAAGCCAGCTCAACGGTTCAGGTGAGTATAACTTTTTTAGTTTTTGTCTTTTGCACCTAGACAAAGTATACAATTCACTAGAATCTTAGATATTTCTTTAAAACATACTGTATTTATATCATGATTTAGGCTTTATTTTTTCACTTTTTGGGGGGTTATTTCAAGTAAAAAAAAAAAAAAGGCAAATGGGTGCAGTCAATTGCGCCCATAACATTAAAAATATGTAAAAAACACTTTTTCATTGTTTATTTATTCCTGCCTTGAGGATGCCATTGTTCTATGCATCCTCTTTTGGATGGACTTATACTCAGGCAATATGTTCTCAAATAATTCTATTGTCTCAAATTGGTGGTTGTAAACACATGCACACTGCCACAGGCTGCAAATACCAACTGCCCCAGCCATGTGCTAATTACATTTTTGGTGAATTGACTTTACTGTTGTTCATGAGATATTTATCTCATGTTTTACAGTATTTTTTTTAATTTTACATTTGTTTGGAATAGTGTAAGGCCTTGTTCACACCAAGCGCGGAGCAGATCCAGAGCAGATCAGTTGCAGACCGGATCAAAACTGCGTCCAATGTATTCCAATGTTATTTTTTGCTCCAGTTCACATCGCAGCGTGCAGTTGCAGAGCAGATCCAGAGCAGGGGAAAAAACTGCAGCAGGCCCTATTTTACCTGCTCTGGAACGCATCAAAAACGCATTGCAAATGCCTGGAACGCACTGAAAGCCCATTTTAAACTTACATTTTTTTTAAATTTTTTACCAAAAAGAGCCTGGAACGCATACAAAAAAGCGCATTTAAAAGACTAGCGTGCGTGTGCAGAAACCTGACCGGATCTGCTCGGCATTTGATGTGAACAAGGCCTAAAACCCTTTTGACTGTAATATCACTTTAATGGAAATAGGAATGTGGTTGTGTATATGCATTGTGTATTGTATATGGAGTACACAAATATCTTTGGGTTATTTATTTATTATTTATCACAGGTATTTTATATAGCTCCGAGAATTTATGCAGTGCTTTACATAGTGACACATTCACAGACCCTGCCCTCAAGGAGCTTACAATCTAAGGTCCCTATCTCACATGCATACATAGCGGGCCAATTTAGACAGGAGCCAATTAACCTTCCAGCATGTCTTTGGAGTGTGGGAGGAAACCGGATTCCCCAGAGGAAACCCAAAATTAGCACGGACTCTCGGATTGAACCTGGAGAAATGAATTTAGTAGCTCTACCTAGCCTGCGGCCCTTGGAGACAGGAGGAGTACCTGTGCTTATGGAGCAAAAAGAACAAACGTGTGGGCGCAAAGCTGAAGGAGCTATATGACTAAGTGAGACATTGTGAAAGATAAAACAGAAGGAGATGTAGCACTTACTTTAAGTGGATCTCAGGACCAGATGGGGGCCGGCCTGTGGGGAGGATCGTGAAAAACCGAGGTGTGTATTCAATGAGGACTAGTATGCTACCTGAGGCTGTTCATTCAAGAGGGAAGTCATGGTGAGCAACGCGTTTCGAGGATACAACCTCTTTATCAAGCTCAATAGAAGTGGTGTATCCTCAAAACGCGTTGCTCCCGAACCTCCACCCACGACTATACTGACCTGACCACCTTTACCCCACCTTCATCCCGGCCGCCCTTTCATCCAACATCATCATCACGGCCTGGGCACTGGCCAAGTCTCGGTCCACACACAGATCAAGCCTCTCCACCTGCAGCCACAGCAGCCCAGCCAGACGCCACCCCGCACATCGCCTGCACTCCCCATCACAGCAGCGGTGACACGGACTAAATTTGTGTGCCACTACCCACTCCCCCGTCCATCCCTCTCTCTTCTCACCATCACTTCCCTCCTCGAGATGAACAGCCTCAGGCAGCATACCAGTCCTCATTGAATACACACCTCGGTTTTTCACGATCCTCCCCACAGACCGGCCCCCATCTGGTCCTGAGATCCACTCAAAGTAAGTGCTACATCTCCTTCTGTTTTATCTTTCACAATGTCTCACTTAGTCTTATAGCCCCTTCAGCTTTGCGCCCACACGTTTGTTCTTTTTGCTTCAGAGGAAACCCACACAACCACAAAGAGAACATGCAAACTCCTTGCGGATAGTGACCTGGCCGGGATAGGAAGCAGAATCAGTAGCCACTGCGCCAGCCAAGAATTTCATATTTTTATATCCATCTTATTACTGGACAATATTCAGCTGTACTTTCTCGAAAAGCATGCCTATTATGCAGATTGGCAGTCACTTATTGTTTCATGTTTGTTCTATAGCCCATGAGTGCCACCCTTCGAGAGAGGCTCAGAAAAATGCGAAGATCTTTTACTTCACCATGTTCAGTGGCCAAACGTCTGAAAATTGATTGTGAAGAGAGTAACGTTCCATCACAGTGTGCCAGCAATCCCTCACCTCCTCAGGATCTTCAGAGAGCCTCCACAGCACACACACATACTGTTATCTCATCTGCAGATACCAGGCTTTCAGAACATCTGCCATCAGTGGGAGCCTCCACACCAGTCACTCGTAGGTATACCAGCCAGCAAGATTTTCTCCAAGAGAAAAGAAGGTTACTAAAGCGCATCGAAGAGAAGGAAGAAATTCTAAGGAGAGTAAAAATGGTTAAATTGTATCGATCTAAGGTAATGTGCAACCTCAGCTATCATTTTAGGTTATAAGATTAAAATTGTCAGTGGGCAAAACGTGATCTCATCAGTGATTTTCAATTCTTCAAATGTGATTACAAACATTTTATGGTGCATATTGGTGAAATCAGATCAGTCAGGTAGGAAGTAAGAGCATTCAGCAAAATGTAAATCCCATTATATGTTTTAAATTCATACTACCATTGTCCAATGAGCCATCACAAATATGTGTTTGGGGCCTTTTGTGTTTATCCCTGTGACTTTATATCAAACAGTTGCATGGGGATATGAGTGCTCTCAGCTGCTCTGTACCTAGTTACTGCAGGTAACATGACTAAATACAGAGATAATTGTGTATCGCAGGGTAATGTGAATCCAGACACTGGCAGATGATATGAGAACGTGCTGCTTAATCTAATGAGTGACTTTCTGTATGTACTTTGCTTTAACAGGGAACCTTTCTTACCATGTGTGTTTCTTACAAAGTGTTTAGTGGCCAGAATACATCTGAATCCCACTGAGCACCAAAGGTTTCCATTGTTTTTGTAATGAAACCGTGCAAAACTTCTCTGAGTAAGTTCAGTATGCATTTTTATACACTCTCGGCTCATGACCTTGGGTTTGTGCCACTGGCAACACATTTCAACCAGCTAAAGAGAAGTAGCAGATAGATGGGAGTGTAACCAGCAGAGGCCATTGCAGGCAGTGTTTAAGCACAAAATGACAGACAGTGTTTAAGCAAAGTTGTATCACAAGCAGATGTATGAGGCTGGCAGCTAACATAAGTTGATACTGGAGGACTTCTCTCTGTCAGGTACTGTGGTCGCAGGGAACAGCTAGCTATGTGTTTTTCCTTAGCATCTGTCACTGACTACAGGTCCTGCTCTGATTTAAGGTCTGAATTTGGGTGCAGGAATAATCTCTATATATCCATCTATATTAAACCATATCCCTAATTAGATGTCCTTGCTGGGACTGTAGTATCAAAAAGGAGCAAATATATACTGTATATCTGATCACAATCCACCCTCTCCCCTTTCCCCAGTCTGGGTACTTTTTTCAACAATCCTGTGTCACCACTTCATCTTAATCTACATATCAATCTTGGTGACTCCCTCTCCCCCATCTCCACTACCCGACACATGTGTTTTAAGACAATACCCATATTTTGTCATACCTGGCAATTACTGTGGAGCTCAGACACACTTTGTGTCGGGCATTTCTTTTTTAGTCAAGAGGAAACTGTCCCTATCATGCAATGGCAGATTGGTTGTGTTTTTACCTCAGGCCAAAAGTTCCCATCCCACACCTGTACTAGCCCGAATTTGTTGCTTAGGAACCTTTGGGCTGAATTTGCATTTGTGAGTAACATCAGTGGTCAATTTGAGTTTGATTGCTGTTCACTGTATAGGCCAGAAATAACACTATCATGAGAGTTGGCCACACACATGTAGTCTGATAGGCCAAAAAAATAACACTATCATGAGAGTTGGCCACACACATGTAGTCTGATAGGCCAAAAAAATAACACTATCATGAGAGTTGGCCACACACATGTAGTCTGATAGGCCAAAAAATAACACTATCATGAGAGTTGGCCACACGCATGAAGTCTGGTAGGTCAGCAAATAATACTATCATGAGAGTTGGCCACACACATGAAGTCTGATAGAGAATAACATTATCATGAGGGTTGGCCACACACATGAGTTCCTTTATAAAATCATTGATTGTTCAATATGCTGGGACTCCAACCAATTTTTTTTTCTAGATTTGAATAAAATCAGTAGGAATTAGAATTTTCTGCTTTTATTGCTGCCTGTCTCCCCCTTTTGTAGAAATGTCCCGTAGTTCTTGTTAGAGACAACAGGAAATGTGAGGATATTTTCCCAACCTGTGGAGAAATGCTACCATTGGCAGTTGTCATTGGAAAATGTGACAGCCCCCCACCTCCCCCCCCCTCTGCCATTCTGTGATCCTTTTTATCAAGCTGATGACCGTCTTATTTCCGCTCCCACCTTTAGAGCCATTTCACACTTTTTTTCATGTTGGTGCAGTCCATAAGGATGAATAGCAATCCATGTAAAACGTGCCTACAATGTTGAGGAGTGAAATGGTTATTACCCGGGTAAGTGCCCTGCAAGCTGCTGATTGTAGGACAAAATAAAAACAGCTCTAGCCTACAAACTGACATCACTTTGGTTACACAGGCACAAGATACTCTGACGATGGAAGAGTTAAAAGGGCATACACACTAGATACACTGTTGCTATTTTCTATTCTTATTATTGTTAGCATTATTATTATTATTATTATTCTCATCTAGTGTGTGTGTGTGTTTATTTCAACCTACATTTGAATCTATAAACACAAACAAACACATAGTAGGCCCAAGTGTTTCCATACCTGACATCCCATTTCTAAATACAGTAGACTCTCTCCGGTATTCAACTAACCAGAACTCTCATCTAACCAGAAAAAAAAATCCCTGTGTACTCACTGTTCTACTGTTCCACGGCATGTATTATCGTGGAAAAGTGTGTCTATTTGTCTTAATTTGCTTTTAATTACTGCATTTTGATATTAATATGAAGTCAATACAGAGTTTACGGTATGGTGTAGTATGAGGTATGGTATTAGTTAGACCTATTTTTAATAGTAACTCTCAAGCAACCAGAAACTACATTTATCCGGAGTCTACCAATCCCCGTGGGTGCCGGATAACGGGGCGTTTACTGTATATAGCGCAGGCTGATTACAATGGAAACAATAGTTCTTGATCACTGTATATGTCTAATGTGTTACATTGCTTTTGAATGTTCTTCTTTTTTTCCCCTTTATAGAACAATCTGACTGAATTACAGTCATTAATAGAAAAATGGAGAAAAGGAAGTCAGCTTGTGCTGTATGAACTCCAAACAGCCTTAACCACGGAGAATAAAAAGATTAGTCTCACACACCTGATAGAAAGTTATGGGCTGGATGAGAAATTACTTCACTACAACAGAACAGAAGAAGACTTTGAAGATCAATGACAAGTTATTGTGTGAAGGACTATTTTCTTTATTGTTGATTTGTTGTTTATTTGTTGCATTTGCTCATTGAAAGAACGATTTTACATTCTCTCAATGCAAAGCTGCATTGTGTTAAAAGGTCAGAACTAAAATTTCAATTCATGGAATATGCTGGAAAGTGAAACCACTTAATACTTTCCTTTGTTTCTCAGGGACTTTGGTTGCAAGTACTGGGTGTTGGAGTTCCCACACCTGCACACCTCCCATGGTCATTACAAGATGACTCCAGTTTCATTGTTGGAATTTTAATTTATTTTACAATACAGAGAATGAAACATGAGGAGTGGGAACACATGAAAGTGTGCGATGGAACAGAGGCAGGAGACCTTATGTCATATAAAAGCGCCATCAGATAACTCTGTCCACAAGATGCTGTATAGAACCGAAATCTCACTTTTTGGTTGACTTGCCATTTGTTTCTAGAAATATTAAATTATATTTTTGGTATTTGGTAAATTAAAGAAATATCTAGAAAATACATTTATATAATGGTAATAAAAAAAATGGATAAAGAAAGTGGAAATGGTATTAGTGTGAAATACAATAATTGATGATAGTATCATGTGTGAAATATACAGTATAGTTGTCTGTGAAGGTTCTCATTCATCCAGGTTACATAGTTACATAGTATTTGAGGTTGAATAAAGACATTAGTCCATCAAGTCCAATGAATTGCTGTATAACTTCTGAATTGAGAAAGCTGTTCGGATGTCCAGTGAAACGTCTACAAGAAAAATACAGTTGCTTTGACTTATTTTTTACAGACATACAGTATAGTTGCATAAAAAGTGCACTTGTATTTAAAAAGTAACTTCTCGGACAGAAATGGTAGCCTTCAGACCTTTTATTGACTTGGGACATGTTTAGTACTTTACACTTTTGTCCTGAAACATAGCCATATCCCATAACCCCTCTAGCTCCTTAGGCTGGCGCGGTAAGGGGGGAATTCTAGCTCACACTGCTAACAGTCCTCATTTGGGCTCTGACGATAGCCAATGAGAAGTCTCTCAGGACCTGGCACCACTGAGAGGCTTTAAGGGGGAGGTGTAAGGACTTGTTCACGCCACATCCCTCAAGCTTTGTTTTTCTGCACACTACAATTGTTTTCTGTGTGATCTTTTCAAATGATCATGTGTGCTGGTGTGCAGAAAAACGCAGGTCAACAGACGTGGTGTGAACAAGCCCTAATAGTTTTTGGTCAGTTCTAGTTGAAAACGTTAATAAGTGATGTTTTACATATTTTTATTTTAACTTACCAGTAGGGTAGGTTTTTTCCAAAGAGAGAAACACGCCTTGTTTTCATTTAATTGCTGTTTTTAGGTTCTGGCGTTTCCCTAGATAAAAACAAAGTCATATTAGTATCTGCTGAAGCCGTTTTGTAGCTCACAGGTCACCCCTCAGTGAATGTGACGAGGCAAAAGTGTTTATCAGCAGGATGTAGGACATCTTGTGTCCCTCCATCCTAATGTAATGTAGATATCTTGTTCTCTCTTTTGCCCTTTATTTAGGATCCTGCAAGAACTCTTATAGTATGATAGGATGTCTCCTGTGGCCTTTTTTTTAGAGACAAGTGAATCAATCTATCATTTTTGAGGATCATTGTGGATTAGCCTGATCTGTGACTTAAAAAAAAAAACTGGCAGCTCCTCAAATGATATCGCGTTCGTGCACCTGAATATTCCCATTATTGGAGTATTGTGCAGACCCCCCATCATACTGATCCCATCTCTTCATATCATTCAGCACTAGGCAGATGCTTCAAATGGAGGCATCTAAAAATATCGCCTGTCTCAAAACACCAGCCTAGTACTGATGGACATTAGTCTCTTCCACTCTCCTGGCGCCCAAGGAATGGTGGCACCTTCCTTTGGAATTGTTGACAAATGTGTAAGATAAAATACAATATTGTATTGCCGAAAATCTGGGTCTGAACATGCGAATTGTGGCTGTCAGCGACTAGTCAATGTTAGGGCAGAACAGAGAGTGGCAAGACTGGTACAGGACAACAGAAGGGCAACAGTGCAGTGTCAGATTCCTCGCATCACCTTTCAACATCTCGTGGAGTCACGAGGCGGCCCAACGAAGTCATCTCATTGAGTCATCACGTGGCCCAAAAAAGTATTTAGTCAGCCACCAATTGTGCAAGTTCTCCCACTTAAAAAGATGAGAGAGGCCTGTAATTGGCATCATAGGTAGACCTCAACTATGAGAGACAAAATGAGAAAAAAAATCCAGACAAATCACATTGGCTGATTTGGAACCAATTTATTTGCAAATTATGGTGGAAAATAAGTATTTGGTCAATATCAAAAGGTCATCTCAATACTTTGTTATATATCCTTTGTTGGCAATGACAGAGGTCAAACGTGTCCTGTACGTCTTCACAAGGTTGGCACACACTGTTGCTGGTATGTTGGCCCATTCCTCCATGCAGATCTCCTCTAGAGCAGACAGAGCTGAAGGTCCTTTTCCTGCCCCCAATGGGAAAGCACTGGACCAATCATGAACCACCATTGCTGTCACATGCTGCCCTAAAGCAAAGAGAAGGTGAGTATGTATTGCACAGGAAGGGGACATTAAAAAGAACGTTTTGCTCTGCCCTGCACGGACAAATCACAGGTTTGCTTTTAGCATTAGTAAAACCAAAATCTTCTTAAACATTAAGCCTTATGTGTTTGGGAAGATTACGGAAGTGCAGTTGTGTACTTAATGAAAGGAAAAAAGTTAGAATAAAACTACACATCCATGAAGTCAGAATGTTAAACAACTCAAACAATTTTTACACCTTTAGACAATGTAAGAATGATCCTAATGTTTATCCTTCAGACTTCGCTTTGAACAAAATGTTATTTATGTAAGTTGCAAAGGTCTGTCCATTTCCCCATTGTTCTCTGTTATCAGCACAGAGCTTGGTCAGTGCCACGGCATCTTCTTATCTACATCGTGTACATAGATGCCTGTCCTGATCAATTACAAAACATGATCAGAAATTAGTGTTACACTACATTATAAAATAGCATGACTGTTAACATAAAAATGTTGTTTGAATTTAAAATGTGCATTTCAAGAATGTGGGAATTATGGGAAAGATGCACATGTTTTCTAAGAAGAAAAAAAAAAGCCCCCTGAGCAAATACTTTTCCTTAGACCTTTAAGAAAAAATATCAAGTTTAAACCAGAGTTTTGCTTTTCCACTTCAGGCAAATACTTCACGATGTGTAATCACATTTTTCTTTACATTTCATGAAGTAATATTTTACGTTGTTGTAATTTCATTGCCATTTACAAGCAGTTTTAGTTCTACTTTTTTTATTCCCTGACCGTAAATACGCATGTGGCACCTAAAGTATGGCAAGGGTGGCTTTTTAAGGGATCTTCTTCTTTGTTGGTGACCAACCTTTACCTTCTGCTCCTTTGCCAGGCTCATTTACATTATATAACAGTGTCAAAGTCTGAGCCAATGTACACAGTACAGTATATTATACCAATGATCGCCTCAGTACTGATGGAGCTTTCAAAAAGATGTCCATACTGCGGTCATATAATGCAGCTCCATTGGGTAAACGATTATTAACTTGCTTGCATGCTTGTGGGAAAACCCATTCAAACTATGCAGATAGTGTTCCTGCTAGGATATGAACATTGGATCCAATCACTGCAAGGTAATAGTCCTAATCATTGACCCACCATGCCATGTGAGGTTTCCTCGGTTTCTGTGTTTCTTTCAAGCTCATTTTTTATCTTCAAAAAAACATTTTTTTGTTTTAAAGGAGAACTATGAGGCGAGTGCTTTTCACTCACCTCATAGTTATAGATGACCTGTGACAATGAGACTGTCACAGGTAGCTCAGTAGATCGGGAGGTGAGCGAACACATACCGGGTTCGCTCGCCTCTCGATCCTGTCAAAGCTCTCTGCCGTGACAGGGGGAGGGGCTGGATTCCCCTCTCCCCGCTCCGATCTGCCAGCGCTGACTGGCGACCTGTGAACATTTCAGTCTCACACAGAAACAGCATTGGCACATCACCATATATGGGGACACCCCACACCATGCACTCTTTTATTCAGTACATGTTTTGGTTCCTTTACCCTCCAGGTATAGTTTAAAGCAATGGTTCTCAACCTGTGTAACCTTGGGACCCACATTGGTCCTCGGTCATTAAGTTGCGACCCAAGTTGCACTGCAATGTTCCATGTTGCGTTACTGGGCTTTCCGGTGCAGGTGATCGAACTGTAGATGGGAAGTGCGTTTGGGTTGCCATTACGGAAACTGGAGTGGATCCTCACCCTGGGGTCCAGTGTGGGCTGCTGTGCTGTGATGGGTCTCAATCCATATGTGTATTGCTTGTAAAGCTCCCGTGTGTGCCCCTAGAGGTGCTGGGAGCCAGAATGTGATGAGCTGTAAGCAATGCAAGTATGGATGGAGCTCCCTCGCGGCCATAGCCCCAGCCCACCTCACTCCACCACACCTCAAGTCGACACTCGGCACCGGGCATCATATTTTTAAATGGCTGCTCGATGCGAGAACTGACAGTGCTTCACTAGGAGGAGGCTAAGGATCCACTAGAAAAGTGGAAGGCATGTGGTGACCCACTGGACATGGGGTCGCGACCCACTTTTGGGTCACGACTCACCAGTTGAGAACCAAGGGTTTAACCTCCTTGTTGGTATTCCCCAGTGTGGCTCGGGGTTAATTTTCAGTACCATAAGCGGTAACCCCTATCCAGCGCCTCTTACCTTGTCCACGATCCTCGCTGTGTCCTCCGGCCGATGCCGGCATCCAGCTTCCGGGTTCCGTCCCTTGCGATCGCCCGCGTCGCAGGGGGGGCGGAACCGGTGGGAATTTTAAAAGTAACAAAAAAACGAAAAAGAGATAGAACAAATAAAAGGAAAAAAATAAATAAATAATCATACTGCCAGGGACGTTAAAGTGTATGTTAAGGCACTCTAAGTTAAGTTGTGCTGTGGGCTGACAACATCCAGCATTTTTGTGTCAGCCT